GTCACAGGACCAGTTATTCCCACCCTAAGGTGACATATTTTGTGATGGAGAAGATTTGCCTGTAAATATATTGCCTGCAATAATAGGGACCTGTGACATCATAAGTCCCAACTTGCCAATTACCTGACCTGGAAAAGCTCAACATAGCATAGTTGTTTTTCTGGATGCCATAATAGCAATGCAGCTGGCTTGATGCCCAAAGACAGAAGTTTCAATAGATGATAGATAGATGATAGATATTGGGGTTGTACATGTTGCAGCATCCGTAAGGTTCTCCACATAACCTACTTGAAGCTATTTGCTTGATCTAATACATATTGCTCTTACATTGACAATTGAACAGGCTAGATGATAGATAGATGATAGATAGATAGATAGATAGATAGATGATAGATAGATGATTTTGTTGGGATTTCATAGCCTCATTATGTGGAGCCAAAGATGAGCCCTGTTCCTTAAAGAGATTCTGGGTCACACACAAACAAACACCAGAATTTCAAAATGTTCTATGTTACTTCCATTAATCTACTGGGAACACATGTCATAAGGGTACTTCATCATTTCTTTCTTTTATCATTGATCTTAATTTTTCTGGAAAGGCAGATGATCTTTCAAACATAGCAAAGTGGGTTAGGTACTAAGGGTGCCTGGAGGCAGATCCAGCTACTTTGAAGGCGGGAGATGCTCCTCGTGGTGTGTAGTGTGCTTCGGGGAAGAAAAGAGGAGGAGAGAGAAAATGCTGAACACCGACATGCAATGTAAAGGCAAAATCTTGAATGCTCTGATGTTTCTTTCATCTATGCATTCTCTCTGAGGTGTGCTTAGGAGGCTTGTGGCAAAATTTCCTGAAGCATTAATATGAAGATCCATGCATATAAATGGGGTTTGTGGAGATGTTTCTCTATTTTTCAGAAGCACTAAATTGCAGTCTTACAAATTCTTCTCTTTTGGAAATATAATCTGCTTTGTTCTTAATTACACTCATGAGTAAGATGTATGGTGTAAGGTGAAAACCAGGGTGTGGCAGTGGGGAATTAGGAATCCATTCCATGGATGCTGATTCCCAAACCAATTTTTTAAAAGAGATCTTAGTCAGTAATATTTTCCATTAACTAAAACTGAAATCCTCACCATGCCCAATAAGAAGTAAATTGAATTCAATGGGGTTTGCTCCCAGTTAAGTGGGGTGAGAGTTGCAGCCTAAGATTCTGAGGCAGACTTTCATAATCACATTTGGAGAGAGGAGAGAGGGCAGAAAGAATCAAAGCTCTGAATAGGATAAGAGACCCTTTGGCTACCCTTTGGATGGAGTCATTTTGAGAATGGTTTCTGAGACTGCAGGGTTTATCCTCCTTATAATGAAGACAAAATAGGTTCTTAACAGAACTAACTTGTGGCTGGCAGTTTGAGTAGTCTCTAGCATTAGAATTCAGTGCGACAGCTTTCCAAACTCTCCAAGCTTGAAAATCCATATTGGGTAGCTAGTTTTAGCACAACAATTCCCGATAACCCTTAGACTTGCTCACATGGCGATCAGGTTATCTAATCACAGGACTGTGATGGAGATGACAATTTTATGATTATTTAAGCAGAAATGGCAATATCTAGTGTTGATGGCACCAAACAATTTACTGGAGCAAAAAAAGGGAAAGGGAAAAAAAGAGGTATGTCACAGCACATTCTGAGTCAAAAATGAACTGAGTTCACTGTCCTTTCACCCAAATCCTACTTCTGCTTCATTCCAGCTGCCTATATAGGCGAGGAAAGTGAGCCTCACTGAATATTGCAGTTCCCAGGCATAAATTTCCATCTTTCAAAAAGTGAGAAAAGCACTAGCCCAATCTATGAAGTTCTCTTCAGCTTCAATAATTGAAACTCGAGCATCTGATATTTTGCTGTCATGTATATTTTTCTGCAATACATCCACACCCCCAACAGCTGCCAAGTTCAACAAAAAAACCCGAGCAAAACCCCTTGAGATCACAGGGCCACTGGGGAGGGGGGCTTGCTTATAATTTATTCTCAGATGTGTGAATTACTTTGAAGCACACCTTCGTCACACAGCTCAGGATTCTACATTTGCTCCCTTTCCTGGCTACAATTAAGGAGCGGCAGATGTAATCTGTCTGTCACAGTGCAAACGTCCTGGCAGACAGGAGACTCACAGCTATCTAGCACCAATTAGCTTTGTGTGTCAGAAACATAATTTCTTACATTGCTTTGCTAAAAATTTAAGAGATGCTTTAACGTGATTTGGACAGGAGGGGGTGTCTTGTCGTATTTGTTCTCTTCGGAAGGAACAGCTGCAGCAGGGGGATAATTCTCTGTGCAGTGCAGTCCATCCTGCTGTTTGCCATAGAATGAATCTGTAAAATCCAATTCAATTCCTGAAGGCTTCTCATCCATCAAGCCAGGTCTAGAATCTGTCCCCTTCTTCTAATTCCCTCTCAATGGAAAATCTTCTGAAAAGACCAAGTTTCTTTCTTTTGGGGGATTTGTTTTCAACAATGCCCTAAAGAGCATAGATCAGAATACAACAAACAGAGTTGGAACAGGGGATTTTTCTCCCCTGAGGCAGCTGATCATTTTGTGAGGGCCAAGCTACATACTACATAGTTTGTCCAAGTGTGGTTTAAGGTGGAGAACAATAAGAAGGCCTTGAGGTGGCCTGGTCACTTGATCATGGCTTCCCCAATATGGGGAGATTTATTGTACTTCCATTTCAGTGAATCTATATATTTACATACACATACAAACCTTCCAGGCAAATCTGTGTCCTCTTATTTTGGTCACCCTACCTGCAATTTGCTCTGGAGAAGAAAAATTTCCATTGAAACAAATGAAATTCCCCAGTTGCAAATTGCAGATGCAGGGCCCTTGTGGCGTTCGTACGGAGCCCCCGGTCGTCTCATGGACTATTGACCCGTACACCACTAATCCGCTGCCACCAACCAGGTCCTCCCCAGTAAAATCACTTCAGCCTCAGTCAGGTTCTCAATTAATAAAGTAGAGTGTATTTTATTTCAGACCCAAACAAACTTTTCCGGCATTCCAACTGTTGTTACTCTTTACTTTCTTAGTCTTATTTTCCTCTCTCTATCTCTTCTACCTCCCCTCACTCAAGAACCCACTGCCGTAACTGTCTCTATTTCCAACTGCCTGCCAACTGCTTCTCCAACCAGCCAACCCACTAAAACCAACCAACTACCCACCAACAACTTTAACAAACCTCAGGCTAAGCCCTTTTATACACATGTAGGCTCCGCCTCCAGCTTTCCTATTGGTTTACATTTTTAACCCTTTCTTTTTCCCCTTTACAGACAGGCTCTAAACAAACGGGCAAATGCCACAGCCCTCAATCTGGATCAAGACCACAGCGGAGGGGAAGGGATAAAAAGGCCCCTCTCCCCTTCTGGTAGGGCCCCTATCCCCATAGTTAGCTATGTGGTTTTAGATGGTTAGCTAAGTGGTTCCTGATTCAGATGTCATGGAGACACAGAGCTTAGTGTCATCACCATACTGACGGCACCTTACCCTAAAACTCCTGGTGACCACTCCCAATGGCTTTATGTACACATTCTGGTGGCTATTGTATATATTTTTGAAAGCAGTTTCACACACACTATCCCAAAATATGTCTGTTCATGTGCTTTGTTTGTTTGGAGAACTGCATCATGAAGATCAGTTCTCGCATTGTTTTGGAAAGGGTGAATTTGATAGAATCGGCTACGATGCAAACTGGATCAGATTGGTCCCCTATCCCTCTGAGGGACAATGTTTGTAAGAATCAGAATTGAAGAGGGAAGGGTTAAACCTTCCCTGCCTGCATGCTGAGCCCTCTGCTAGGACTAACATCTGTACACCCCTCTTTGGCAGCTTGCACTAATCAATCGGCTTTAGTTGTCACAGGGCAAACAGTATTGTAGAGTATGGGCCAGAATTAATGAACTTTGACCATTATTTCTTGGTTTTAATCAGTCCTTTTTTCAGGGGGGGATGCACGGGTACGCATACCCCTAAACCTGTTGTGAATCTAAGTTTGGGGCAGTATTTCAATATGAGTAGGAAAATGAGAGCACCCTTAAACTTTTTTTAGGGAAAAAAGCACTGGTTTTAATATATACTTCTCTTCCATCTTTTATGGTAATACGTTCCGCAGGTGGCTAAAAAATACATATCAGTAAAATGCATATATCAAAACAAGGCATTAAAACATCTTAATTAAATACCAAGACAGCATGGTAGAAAAGATTCAGCGTACCCCCCCAAAAAACCCCCCCAACAAAATATCTTCCAATTATTCAGAATGATAAACAAGGACTGCAGCCCACCAAGGAGGTAAAAAGTGGGGAGAAAATTGCTTAGATTGTTGTTGTTGTTTTTGCTCTCCCACCTACCCTTCCACCACCCCTTCTCCCAATTATGTGAGAAATTTGGACAGCTCTGAATTATTTTTCCAGGATAGAACTTTTCAGCAAATGCTGTGTCATGATGAACTCATCAAAAAGTTCCCTTAATTATGAGTCGAACACACAATACTGTAGTGTGTGCCTCTTGAACAGACGGTTCTCTATAAAGAACACTGTTTTTCTAGGCAGAGGCTCGTTTATCTGTCTATGAAGGGTGTACTCTTTCTGACATGTGCTGCATACAGCAATGTAGAATCCAATGGGCTTTTATCAATTTTTTCAGGCAAATTACACCCATCTTGCCCGGGGGTAAAGGGAAGGACTGTATTGTCCAGGCAAGAATCCGTGCCTTACTAGCGTCCCACAACACTGCAGGAAGTTAGGAAGCACCAGTTTAGTTTGATTTTATCAAACTTTGAGTAATTTATCCAATAAAATATACATTTTATTGATTTCTGTTTTATTGAATACATTACTCAAAGTGATTTGAAAATTGCAGTATTTAAAGTGTGTGATATATATAGATCACAGAATCACAGCTGGAAGGGATCCCAAGGATCATCTAGTCCAACCCCTGCAATGAAGGAATCCTGCCCACAGCTGTCCCTAGGTGGGCTTGAACTACCAACCTTCTGGTTAACAGCCAGATGCACTGACCCATTGTGCCAAGCATAGGCAAACTTGGCCCTCCAGATGTTTTGGGACTACAACTCCCATGATCCCTAGCTAACAGGACCATTGGTCAGGGATGATGGGAATTGTAGTCCCTAAACATCTGGAGGGCTGAGTTTGCCTATGCCTGCATCGTGCCGCAGAGTTCTTCATTTTAGTGTTGCTTTGTCAGACTGTTGAAGGGTCCTTGTGTGGGATATGGGGGAACAGAATTCCTCTTGCGCCCATGCTGGTGTCCTTTAATTGTCAGTTTCAAGCTTAAATCCATTGTGCTTGATTGGGATGAACACTTCAATAGATTGTTGCTATCTATTGGTAAACTCTTTCAATCACTTGGAGACATTTATTTTGCTCTTTTAGTAGCCCCCACAGTATTGCTGTCTGTTGCTGCATACCCCATGAGTACTGAAAGAGGCACTCTGGTCTTCCTTATCGTTTGATTTGTTAGATACCCTTGCTTCTGCTGTGACATCTTACAGCATTAATAAAACAGAAGAACTACAATAAAAAAAATAGAGCATCCAATAGCCATTAAAAGCACAAGAGACAACAACCTTAATTGGTGGACAGATTTATCTAGTTCTGGCAGCCTATTCTCCAGGGAGGGTCAGGGTCTTTACAAAATATAGAGTCTAAGAATAATTGGCTAACACTGCAGTCACTTCTTGTACCAGCCAGGTACAGCACAAGGTAGCGAAATACCCAGTTTTTGAACATTGCCTGGACTGTGCTCCTCTAACTAGATAAAGCCCTCTAAACCTTTCCATAGCTTATTCATGCTGCCTTAAAATGTAGGTCCTTTTGCTGCTGAATGTTATTTAAAATGGCTGGACTGTGTTTTGGGGGTCCTGTTGATGTGTGTTTGTGTGATGGTTTTTTAAAAAATGCTGGTGGTGCTTTAGTGTTTTGTGGAGTTATAATAACAACAATATAATAATAATTTATTATTTGCATGTCTTCACTCTGACTGGATTACGCCTGCCACTCTGGGTGGCTTCCAGCACATTATAAAGCCACAGTAAAACATCTAACATAAAAAACTTCCCCATACAGGGCTACCTTCAGATGTCTTCTAAAAGTCAGGTAGTTGCCTGACATCTGACGGGAGAGCGTTCCATAGGGCAGGTGCCACTACTGAGAAGGCCTTCTGCCTGGTTCCCTGTAACCTCACTTCCTGCAATCAGGGAACTGCCAGAAGCGACTCACAGTGCTAGTTCCCCATTAGCTGTGTAGCTGCTTCTTACGTGGAGAGGTGAGTTGGTGTGGAGGTTGCCATGATGCGTCCAGTCATGGCCGACTCTGGGGTTGCAGCACTTATCTCGCTTTATTGGCTGAGGGTTGGCAGGAGCAGGGACCAAACAACGGGAGTTCACCCCGTCGCGGGGATTCCAACCGCCGACCTTCTGATCGGCAAGCCCTAGGCTCTGTGGCTTAACCCACAGCGCCACCCGCATCCCTGCCATGATGCATGTATGTTGCCAGAACCAAACTGGTGTTCCAAGTGGTGAACCTGCACCACACTGATGTCCCCCCCCCCCACACCTCACCCCTTACCCTTTCAGTTTTTCCAACAGCTTCATTGGCCATCTTTCATGTAACAACAAGCCAGAGTTATGACTTATTCTGGTTTACCATGAACGAGTGATGCGTTGGTGCAGGCTTCCTGATCACTCCTGCTTTGTTCTTCCCTGACATGAGCAGGATAAACAAATGAAGAAGCCTTGGCTTCCTGTTACATCCATATCAATGGTCATGCTTTGTTGCTCCACAACAAGAGATATAAGAAGACATTGTTTTCCATTCTGCCCTGCATTTATTGTATGCAGGCACTGTTTCTGTTCCACTGCAGTTTGTCTCCCAGTGAAAACTGCATTATTCATCTTGTTGTTTGCTGTGGCGAAACATACCTTATATCATTTACATAATTGATTACATTGTCATTATGTAATTCAACTCCACTGATTTCAATGCAAAGGAAACAGAATGCAAATTTTTTTTTGGGGGGGTAGCACAGTCAATTATGTATCATTTGCAAAATGAAAGCAGAAACAACAGCTAATCCCCATTGGCTGGATTGATTTCCATTCCAGACATGGGACAAATAAGTGAACACTGGCAATTTCCATTCCTGTTTCCATTCTTGTCAGAATTCTCTGACATCTCTATCCACAAGCCAACCTCAAGCTGTGGTTTGTTGTCTTATGGATCATGGCTTGTTTGGGAACAACAAAGCATGATCCCGGGTTCATACAAAATAGAAGACCAAAGCTTTCTGGTTTGTTTATCTTACTCATGCCAGGGAAAGAGTGAAGCAGGAGTGACTGGGCACCATGCAGAAACATGCTGATTGGTCATGGCAAAATACTGTAAGTCAGAAACCCTGATTTATTGTTACATGTGGATGCAGTCTGTGAGAAGAGCTGCTTCCCTCAATCAACCCACAGTTGTGGATAGCATTTGACATATGTGTCAATCAGTGATACTTAATGATGCAAATACTACAGAGAACTTACGAAGAGCTAAGTGACTTTTTGTGTTATGGGTTTTCCCCAGTTCTAATCTCTTTCTTTATCTCTAAATAAATAACTGGCTGTTTTTCTAAAGTACAGAAGAAGGTTGGAAGACGAGAAGAATTGCTCTCCAGGCCTTCAGTTTGGTTTATCTTACTTTTTCTTCTGTTACAAAATGCCTCCTTTTCAGCTCTTTTGCATTAAAGGGATAAAAGAACACTTTAGAGGTATAGCATGAAAGAAAAGTGTCGTGCTGTCATGTAGCTCAAATTATTCTTAGGAACTGAATCTCTGCAGAGTATTTAAGAGTGCTTTGTCCAGTCTCCACAATAAGAAAATGTGGAAACACCTGTAGGAAATGTCAGTCCTTTTTGACTTATTTTTAATCCACCATGGGGACATTGCAAAGCAATAATTGCAGCTAATACTGAGACTAGATCTGTTTCCTATTCAAAAGTCCTTTAGCTGCAGCATGAACTGAATCCTTTGTCAGAAAACAAAACCCACATACACCTTTTCTGCGCTCCTTGTTAAATCCATCTCTGACTTGCAAGACCTGCTCTCAGATTGGATATTTTACTTATTATCACAAACATCAGCACCATCGTTTTATTAAAGGAATTTGTGAATGGCCTATCTGCCCGCAGGGCTTCACAAGATAATACACATTACAAAATAATAGAAGTAAAAACATCAATTAAAATGGAACAAAGCCATTATTAAACAAAAAGCAGCAGAATTAAAAACCCATCAAATGCCAGATGAGAGAAAATAGTATTTTTTATAGCCAATCAATAACTAGTCAAAGGCAGGGTCAATCTGAAGGGAGAAAATTCCACAACCGGGGCACTGCTATAGAAAATGCCCTGTCTTAGGTACTATAGGGCCCCAAAGTTCAGTGCATGGTGTCAATGTAGAACATCCCCCTAGCATCTACAGACAAAGAGATTTTAGGAAGCAGCTGCTCGAATCCAGCTATGTTACTGCACACAGGGGCGTAGGAAGGGGGTGCAGGGTGTGGTCTGCCCCAGGTGCCACCCTGATGGGGGGGTGACAAAATGGCCAGTGCCACTCACTGCGGAGCCTGCAGCGCACACGAGCCACGCGTCTTGGTGCCCGCAGGCTCTGCACTGTCCGCCAGCTGCCTCCCCCCCCCCCAGCTGTAGGGCGGCTGAGGCCCCGTGGCGCACCCCATCCCTAAGGGCTCTGTGTGTCCCGTCCTGTCCCTCCCTAAAGGTGCTGTGCCCCCTGTGCCGCCCCTATGGGTGGCATGCCCCCGTGCCTATGGGAGCCTCGCCCCACCCTGCCCTGCCCATGGGTGTCATGCCCCAGCTGCCCGAAAGGCTTCCGCCACTGACTGCAAAAGCAGACTGACCTCTGCACACATAATGGAAATTTCCGTCTCTGTTCCTCTTCCTATGAGCCATTGGTACCCATCACCAATGACCCTTCTTTCCTTTAAAAAAAAAAATTAACAATTTCAACATAACAAAATATCAAAACATCTCATATTCATTATTTTCCCCTCCCCCCCACTTCCCCATCAACCCTCAGCTCCTCTCTCTGATTTCTCAACTCATATTGTTCCCTGCATACTGTAAAATTGTATAAATCCTTATATTTTCTATCTACTATGTTAACAATCTATAAATTTGTGTATGATTATGCAAAACCTGCCAAGGAGTCCAATTCATTTTGTTGATCACCAATGACCCTTCAGGTATGATTAGTATTAGTCCCAAGGTGATGTTCAAAATGGTGTAATAAAAACAGCTAAAACACTGTATTTACTGACAGTGACATATTCCCCAACTCAGACTTTTGTGGGAATCCGTATTCTTTTACCCACTGCCCCATATGATGCCTACGGCTCCCACTTCTAAAAAAAATTCTTATGAGAGAACCATTGCAGCTTTCATTTTGAAGTTTGCCATGGTCAGAAGGAGTCTCCATGCCTGAAAACTGCATCCAACTCGAGGGGAAAAGCTTTTGTGTTTTTTCTTCTTCACCAAACAATCAAACTTTAAAGGGGCCCTGTCTGAAGAACTCAAATTGTATCTGCCCACAATCTGGCAGGCTTAATTTACTCTGGAGCAGCTCCTACACCCCAATATCATTCATTTCTGGGCAGGGGAAGGAACTTAATTGCTTATACCTTCGAAATGAATTAAACTGAAAACAAATAGAGCAACTCTGAAACAGAGTGGTCTGTTCCTATAGCTACAAAAACAGATACAAGTTGAATCTGGCTGTCCACCTTTGTAAAAAAATATACAATATAGGATACATGTTATCCCAGTGTTCCTTACTACAACAGTGGGGTAACCACCTACCAGAATCTCTATACTGTGCAGCTAAGGACATTGTTTTTCTTCCATTTGTGTTCCCTCACAGTCCCTGCTGCCACTTGTCCATCACTGTTACTTTGTTTTCTATTCACCATATGTCTCCTCCTATTCCTGAGGTGACCGGGCTTCTTTCCAACTTTGAATTAC